TGGCCCTTTCCAGCCTAGGTGCTAAAATAGTTGTGGTTTTCTAGTACTGGGAAAAAGTCCCCTAGGAATTGATTGACAATTGTGATGTAAAGCACATGTTTAGGTATTTGAGAGGCCTTCATAAATAGCATCTCCCTGCCTCCCACATTCAGGGGAAAGGTTTCAGAACCTTGTAAGAAATGAGACACAGAACAAGGCATATGGGATAAAAATATCATGTGTGTGTACTGAGAGCTAAGGTGGGGGACATAGCTTACATTTGTGGGCAAACGGGCTTTCTTATATTGAATTCCCATAGGAGGGAATCTTAGCGACAGTTATAGCAGCGCTTTCCAAGTGGAGTCCCCGTCTGGGTAACACTTATGATTGAGGAAATGAGAAGGTGACTGTGTGGCTGGGCCTGAGGTGAAGGGAAAAGGATTGGTGGGAATTGAGCTGAGCACCTAGACTCGTCCAGTTTATTCTTTTCAAATTTGCCAGCTAGGTGAGGCCTTTTATTTTGCCTTGTGTAGAATGAATAAAAGAGCAGAGGTGAAAAGTGTGGCATTAATTTATGTTAGCCACGTGGAAGGAAACATCAGGACTGGGGAGGAAGCTTTCTCTCCAGTACTCATTCTGAGAAATGAAATATGTCAAAGTTTGAAGATGTTCAAGTATCTTTAACACTTCTTTTCTAGGAACCTTACAGTTCATACTGTATAATATTAATAATAGGAAGAAAAACTAATACATTGAGAATTTAGTGATTTTTATGACCTAAGTTAAGTGTTCATGTATGTTATTTAATTTCCAAGCTGCCTGGTGTTTTATCTCTATTTCATAGATGATGAAGCTGAGACACAGAGATGAAGATACCCAAGAATATATAGCTAGCAAGCAGAATGTAAAATCATGATTTGAATCTAGTTAATACTCATAATGGTGTCATGATGAGCAATAAGTTACACTTGTGATTGTCTAACTTTTTTTTCTTCTATGTTTGGTGCCCTTTTTCCCCTAGGGAAGCTTTGATTACTTCAAAATAGCCAAAATATTCTTTACGATCTCTTCTAGAAGCTTTTTGGTTCTAAATTTTAATTTAAGTCTGTGACTCCTCTCAAATTAATTTGTGAGTATGTAGTTTACTGAGGTACGTTTTATGGTTCAGAATATGATCTGATGTGGTAACTTTTCACACAATCTTGAAAAGAATGTATATATAATACTTCTGTTGAGTAGAATGTTCTATAAATGTCAAAATGGATTGATCACATTACCTTTCTATATACTTTCTGACTACTTGTTCTGTCAGTTATTGAGAAAAGGTATTGAATTCCCCAACTAAAATTGTGGATTTGTCTATTCTCTCAATTTTGTCATTTTTTGCTTCAGGTATTTTGAAATTTTGTCATTAGGGGCATAAACATTTGGGATTGTTATATCTTCTTGTTGGATGACTCTTTCCTCATTGCGAAATCACCATTATGCCTGGAGATACTCTTTGTTCTGAAATCTACTTTTATGAAGTAATATAGCCACTCTGGTTTTTTTTTTTGGTTTCAGATTAGCATGGTATATCTTTGTCTATTACTTTTAACCTATCTGAATTTATAAGGATTTCTTGGAGATAGCCTATATATGAGTCTTACTTAAAAAAAAACAAACTAATTTGAGAATCTCTGCCATTTAGTGTGTTTGGACTTTTATGTTTAGTGTAATTGGTGAAATAGTTGTGTTTAAATCTGCTGTCTTGCAGTTTGTGTTCTATTTGTCCATCTGTTTTGTTGTTTTGTTTTCTCTCTTGCCTTCTTTTGGATTGACTTTTTAATGATTCCATTTTATCTCCTTTACTGGCTTGTTACACATTTTTAAAAACAGTATACATCTCTAACTTACCACAGTTAGCTTTCAAGTATTGATATACAGATTGATACATAATATATAAGAACATTATATAAGATCTTTACACTTGAAATTACTATATGTAATGATAAGCAAATTTATATTTATGATAAGAGAACCCTATATACTATAGAACCTTACACCAGAAAACGTCTAGTAGTCCCCTATTAGCCTTCCTATTATTGTTGTATACTTTACTTCTGCATATTTTTGTTTTTCAGCTTTACTGAGGTATAATTGGCAAATAAAATCGTAAGCTATTTAAAGTACAAAGTGATGATTTGATGTGTGCATACATTATGAAAGGATTTCCTCAGTGGGGTAATGAACACATCAGTCACCTCACATACTTTACCCCCACTTTTTTAGGGAGGTGAGAACATTTAAATTCTACTCTTTGAGCAAATTTCAATTATACAATACAGTGTTATCAACTATAGTTACAGTGTTTTATGTTAGATCCTCAGACCTTATTCATCTTACAGCAGAAAATTTGTACCTTTACCAGCCTTCTCCAGTTTCCCCAGTTTTAACTTTGTTTTTGAGAGGTATTAATTGTTGGTTATAGATTTGTAGGTAGACATTATCTTTTTTTTCGTTTTCTTTCAGTACTTTAAAGATACTGCTCCACTGTCTTCTCATTTGCGTTATTTCTGATGAGAAGTCTCCTGTTACCTGTATCATTGTTCCTCTCTACATGTCTTTTTTTTTAACATTTTTTATTGAGTTATAATCATTTTATAATGCAGTGTCAAATTCCAGTGTAGAGCACAATTTTTCAATTATACATGAACATATATATATTCATTGTCACATTTCTTTCACTGTGAACTATCATAAGATGTTATATATATTTCCCTGTGCTGTGCAGTATAATCCTGTCCATCTATTCTACATTTTGAAATCCCAGTCTGTCCCTTCCCACCCCCTGTCCCCTTGGCAACCACAAGTTTGAATTCTATGTCTGTTTCTGTTTGTATTTGTTTGTTCTGTTTTTAGATTCCTCATATGAGCGATCTCATATGGTATTTTTCTTTGTCTTTCTGGCTTCCTTCACTTAGAATGACATTCTCCAGGAGCATCCATGTTGCTGCAAATGGCATTATGTTGTTGGTTTTTATGGCTGAATAGTAGTCCATTGTATAAATATACCACATCTTCTTTATCCAGTCATCTGTTGATGGACAGTTAGGCTTGTCCATCATGTCTTGGCTATTGTAAATAGTGCTGCTATGAACATTGGGATGCAGGTGTCATTTTGAAGTAGGGTTCCTTCTGGATATATGCCCAGGAGCGGGATTCCTGGGTCATTTGTTAAGTCTATTCCTAGTCTTTGGAGGAATCTCCATACTGTTTTCCACAGTGGCTGTACCAAACTGCATTCCCACCAGCAGTGTAGGAGGATTCCCTTTTGTCCACAGCCTCTCCAGCATTTGTCATTTGTCTTGTGGACTTTTGAATGATGGCCGTTCTGACTGGTGTGAGGTGATACCTCATTGTAGTTTTGATTTGCATTTGTCTGATAATTAGTGATATTGAACATTTTTTCATGTGCCTATTGATCCTTTGTGTTTCTTCCTTGGAGAATTGCTTGTTTAGGTCTTTTGCCCATTTTTCGATTGGGTTGTTTGTTTTTTTTTCTTATTAAGTCGTATGAGCTGCTTATATATTCTGGAGATCAAGCCTTTGTTGGTTTCATTTGCAAAAATTTTCTCCCATTCCGTAGGTTGTCTTTTTGTTTTACTTACGGTTTCCTTTGCTGTGGAGAAGCTTCTAAGTTTCATTAGGTTCCATTTGTTTATTCTTCCTTTTATTTCCATAATGTCTTTTTATGCTAGCTGCTTTTATAGGTTTCTCTTCATTAGTGGTTTTTAAGCCATTTGATTATGATGTGCCTTGGTGTGATTTGTCTTTTTTTCTTTGACTTGAGATTTATTGAATTTCTTAGATTGAGAATTAGTAATATTCATAAAATTGAAGAAATTCAGTAAACATTTCTTCGAATATTTTTCCTACTCTCTACCCCCACCCTCCATTGTGATTCTGAGTGCAATATGTTAGGTTGTTTGAAGTTGCCCGCAGTTCACTGTGTTCTGATGCTTTGTTCCTTTTTTTTAAATTTTCCAGTCTTATTTCTTTTTGTGTTTGTTTTGGATAGTTTTTATTGCTAATCGCTATGTCTTCAAGTTTACTAATGACTGAGTCTGCAGAGTCTAATCTGCTAATCCAAGTCAGTGTATTTTTTGTATAAAACATTGTAATCTGTAGCCTTTTGATTTGGGTCATTTTTATATCTTTGGTTTCTCTCTTTATGCCTATGCTTTCTTCTTCCTTGAGTGTATGGCCTGTGTTTATAATAGCCATTTAAATATATTTTTCTTCTAATTCTATCATCTGTGTCATTTCTGTTGATTGAATTTTCTTATGAGTCGTATTTTCCTGCTTTGTGTGTGGATTTAATTGGATTTCATTGGATATTAGGTACTGTGATTTTTATATTGTTAGGCATTGTTGTTTTTTATGTTCTTTTAAGTACTTCTGTGCTTTTTCTTGGACTCACTTAAGTTATCTGGAAACAGTTTGATCCTTTTTGAGGCTTTTAAGCATTGTTAGAACACTTCTTAGGACTTTCCTTGATGCCCTGTAATTTAAGTGGTCTTTAGCTGACTGATATACTAATTATTCCCAGCCCTGAGTAATTTCTGAAGACTGTTCTGCACACTCCTTATGGTTTTAAAATTATCTTCCAATTTTTATGTTGTGCTATAATTTGTAATTCTGTTTTTTTTACAGATTATTTCAGCCGTTTTATTTTTATTAAAATATGCAGAGAACTATGTTATGCTAGGTGCAGTGAGGAACCAAATGGTGATTTGTAATAGTTTCATACTAGCCTGAAAAAATGACCACACATTCTAAATACCTAACACATCCAGGGGCAGATGATACACTCTTGGTATCAGGTCTTTATCTGCAGTGGTTATGAAGAAACGATGTGTGTGTATTTTGTGGGGGGAGGGGTGTTCTTAATATTTATTTGAAAGACGTGTGTATATTTCTCATAGTAAATAATACCTATTTAATTTTCTCCGTTTTCTTTACTCCCTCTCTCTATCTAGGAAGAACGTGTTGTGAATCACATGGCAGCAAAGATTATTGAAAATGTCTGCACGACCTTTTCTGCTCAGGCCCAGGGCTTTATTACAGGAGAAATTGGGCCTGTTTTATGGTACCTATTCAAACATTCCACCGTTGATACTCTTAGGATAACAGCAATATCGGTAAGTTGGAGCATCATTTGGGGGTATATTTGCATGTGTTTAAATACCAAGTTTGAAGAACTGTGCCAGAAATAGAGTACATTTTACTGGATAGGTGGAAACCTCAGAGTAACAGCTGGTGAGAACAATAACTTGATTTTTTCCTGAAGCAGAATTTTCAATACGGGGGGTGGAAATCCCTCAGAGAATTTCAATAGGATCTTGTGTAGCTGTGACATTATGTATCCACTGTCACCTCTAAATAGTTTTTGAAAACTGGCAGTGGATAGGGTCTGAGTTTGATGTGATATATTCCTGTGTTCGCTGACTTCTCCTGCTAGCTCCTTTTTTCAGATTTTATGTTAAATGAGTTTATCGTGTGGTTCGAATGTTCAGGCCTCTGGTTTTGTAGTTCTTGTGTTTTGGTTGGTTGTCTGCCACTTCAGTCACATGGTTATAATGACGTGGTGGAAAGGATAATTCTGTATGAAGTTGTCTTAACGTAGTTGTATCAATTTAATAGTCTGCTGAACAGGTATAACCCGTTATATGGTTTAAGTCCTAGTTCTTGATCACCAGTCTCATCCGGACTCAGCAGTGTCAGGCAGCCTCGCTGTATTTTTCTCTGGTCTGCTTCCTCCCATGCTTCCCACTGTGCCGCTTTCATACCTCATCCTCTTTCCTTAACCCTCCAGTCCCACGTGTCCCTCCTGCATCCTCAGTAAATGGCTTTCCCCCCATACTTCCTGGAGACTAAGGAAGACATCCAGCAGGACTTATCCCAGCCTGTGCCTGCCGTACCTGTGGATCTGTCTCCGTCCACACCTCCCCTGCCCTAGGTCTTTCCCTCCTGTTACAACTGCCCGACTGTCCCTTCTCCTGTCAGAGATGTGAACTTCTCCACATTTCTTCTTTCTGTTCTCTTCTTGAGAACCTCACTCACACGATGATTTTCGCTCTTTGCTAAATCTTTAACCTCTCCTTGTCTACTAGATCTTTCTAATCAGTGTTCTGGTATTCTTTACTCCAATTAAAAAAAAAAAACCCTAGCACACATATAGACATAAAACGTATCAAAAGTTCTCAAGCTGCATACCCCCCCTTCACAGCCCTGCTTCCTTCTTCAAGAGTTATTGCCATAAGCTGGCTCCTTTCTGGCTCCATTTCCTGTTTAACCCAGTCTGGTCTCTGTCCTGAAAATGCCACTGAACCTGGCCTTGCTGAGATCTCTAGTGACTTTTCATGTTGCTCAGTCCCGTGGATGTTTATGGATATTTTCAGTTCTCATACCTGCTACGTAATTTTGAAGATCAAAGGCTAACAGTCCTGCTCACTGAATACCCTGAAGTACGGGAGATGTAGCATCCATCACACATGCCACTACTTTAGGAGCCACGTGATTCCAAAATTACAAAACAAAACAAAACAAAAAAACAAACCCCAATTATAACATTAGTAATTACGGAGACACTCTCAGAAAGAGTTACCTAGTTACCTAACTCTCCCAGGGCATCTTTGAATCACATCTTACGACATCCATTTTAATCCTGGTCCTTTAAAACAAAACAAAACAAAAACCTGTCTTCCTTTAATTGGGTTTATGGTATCATTTTTTTGCTCAGCATGGTTTCTTTTCTTGGCAAAATTTCTTTGCAGTTGTAGCCACCAAAGTTCCAAACCTTCTTCTAATCCTTTCTGCATCTAACACATTAAGCTTCACTCTTTCATCTTGGGCTTCTTATATTTTGTTATTAGCATTCATCTAAATCATTAACTTTTCATTGAGATTTTGCCAATTTCCCCGGTAAATGTCTCTTTTTTTCTTTTCTGCTCCAGGATCAGACTCAGTATCATGTGTTATATATTGTTTTCCTATTTCTTGAAGAGTCTTCAGCTTGAACAAGTTGCTCAGTATTTCTGGGAACTTGATGTCATTTACAAGGTTAAAGGGCACAGGGCTTGCTTGTATTCTGTAGAGTGAGGCTCGACCTGGGTCTATCTGGTATTTCCCATTAAACCTCCTTAACACCATTGAAGACTCCTACCTGTACCAGTTGCCTCTGTGGTAGTTTCCACATCATGATCATTTATATGTTTCATTCCTTTTAGAGATTGGTAAATATTATCTATAAAGGGCCAGATAATATGTATCTTGGGCTCTGGTGGCCACATAGGGTCTCCTTTGCATATTCTTTTTGTTTTGTTGTTTTGTTTTATTTGTATTTTTGTTTTCTGTAGTCCTTTAAAAATGTAAAAACCATTGTACATTGTACTCATGAGCTGTACAAAAACAGGCCTTTGGTATGGGTTGGAATTCTATTATAAGGAAGCCTTCCCTTCTGCCACGTGTCTGTGTGTATTTATGTCTTTCTTATTATGGATACCTCTTCTATTGAATGAATTATAATGTGGTACTACTACTAATAACCACTATCAGTGTTTATATTTGGATGCTCAGATCACACTGGAATCATTTGTTTCTCCAGGGCGTCTTTGGTATTTAGAAACCAAGATCTGGGTGTTGAGCTTATTGCTGTGGGGTGTTACTGTTTTCAGGCCTTCATAATATGCAGGGCTAGAAAAAAAATATATGTACCCATACATACACAAACTATCAGAACTAATAAATGACTTCAGCAAAGTTTCAGAATACAAGATTAGTATATAGAAATGTATTGCCTTTCTATAGACTAATGATGAACTATCAGAAAGAGAAAGTGTAACAAAAACCTGTTGAAAATTACATCAAAAAGAATACCCAGGCATGAACTTAATCACAGAGGTGAAAGACCTGTACTCTGAAAACTATAAGACATTGATGAAGTTGAAGATGATACAAAGAAATGGAAATATATCCCATGTTCATGGATTGGAAGAATTAATATCGTTAAAATGGCCATACCACCCAAAGCAATCTATAGGTCTAATGTAATCTCTATCAAAATACCCATGACATTTTTCACAGAACTAGAACAAAGAATCCTAAAATTCGTGTGGAACCACAAATGACCTCTAATTGCCAAAGCAATCTTGAGAAAAAAGAACAAAATAGAGGTATCACCCTCCTAGGCTTCAGACTGTACTACAAAGCTATAGGAATCAAAGCAGTAAGATACTGGCAAAAAAAAAGACACACAGATCAATGCGACAGAATAGAGAGCCTGGAAATAAACCTATGCACTAATGGTTAGTTAATCTATGATGCAGGAGGGAAGAATATACAATGGGGAAAAGACAGTCTCTTCAATAAATAGTACTGGGAAAGCTGGACAGCTCCATGTAAAACTGAGATTAGAACGTTCTTTAACGTCACATAGAAAAATAAGCTCAAAATGGAGTAAAGACCAAAATAGTAAGACCAGAAACCATAATATTCCTGGAGGAAAACATAGGCAGATCATTCTTTGACGTAAATTGTAGCAATTTTTTTTGGATCTGTCTCCTAAGGCAAAAGTAATAAAAGCAAAAATAAACAAATGGGACCCAGTGAAACTCAAAAGCTTTTTGCATAGCAAAGGAAACCTTAGACAAAACAAAAAGACAACCTATGGAATGGAAGGAAATATTTGCAAATTATGTTATCGACAAGGACTAATACCAAAATAAGTAGCTCACTCAGCTCAGTATCAAAAAATAAACAACCCAGTCAAAAAATGGGCAGAAACCTGAGTAGATTTTTTCCCCAAGAACACACACAGATGGCCAACAGGCACATGAAAAGATTCTTAGTATCAGTAATTATTAGAGAAATGCAAATCAAAACAAGTCTGTTTGGGCATCATAAATAGCAATTTTCTTAAGATTTATTAAGAATGAGTTTTTAAAACTTTCACAATTCTTTAATCAGAACCAGCTTTGTTGTTAGTGAATTCATTTTTCATATTCTTATTTTCATATATTAGTTACTTCTTTTCTACCAACAATTTGGATTTTAGACTCGAAGAAGCCCTGTTTTCATAGTTTGTAAATCATGATGGGTAACTTACCCATCTGTAACTCCCTTGGAAGAAAGAGGAGGGACTGAAATAGTAGTTGAAAGGTATCCGAAGTAGAGTTTAATTGTTTCATGGAATTTCATTCTGAGATGAATACAAATCTCTGGTATATGTCTGAAATAGTCAGTGATTATTATTTTTTTCTCAGCTTTATTGAGATACAATTCGCATAAAATGTGGTGTAAGCTTAAGGTGCACGACATATTGACATAGTTTGCAAAATGATACCACAATATTGTTAGCTAATGGTTCTATCACATTATTTAACTACCATTTCTTTTTTGTGGTGTGAACATTTAAGATCTATTCTCTTAGGAACTTTCAAGTATATACTGCAATATTACAAACTTAGTTTCTGCACAAAGAAGTCTCTTCATTCATGTTTTTTAATTACTTGAAGGAAAAGTTTTTCTATGTAGACTTAGGAATTATTTTATCATTTTAGTTAACTCGTAATGTATGAGATAATTATTGTACGAGTTTGTAATGTTTTAAAATAACTTAAGTTTTTACTGTCAGCTGGATTATTGTTTTGATTTTCAGTGTGTTGAAATTTTCCAACTTTCTTGTGCCAAATTAAGTAACAAAGGAGCAAGGTAAGTACCTTCTATTCCATCGCACAGAAGTATTTGCTATCTTTCCGGGGACCAGTTCATGTGCTTGGAGTTATCTGACAGTTTTGTTCTCTTGTCCCTGCAGGCCTTGTGCAGAATCACTCGCCATTCCCCTACGGCCTTCCAGAATGTTATTGAGAAGGTGGGACTGAACTCGGTAATAAACTCCCTGGCCTCTGCCATCTGCAAAGTTCAGCAGTACATGTTGACCTTATTCAGTGCTATGTTGTCCTGTGGGATTCATCTTCAGCGACTAATCCAGGAAAAGGTTTGACTTAGATTTCACCTATTCCTCACTTTAAAAAATTGTTGTTTTCTTCTGCTGTTTCAGTGGCTCAACAAGCCGTATATCTCTGCAGAATTTATTTTCCATCTCCAGGGGCCTTTTTGAACTTTGCCAAACCACTGTACCACAGGCTGTGCATCTGAAGATGTTATGAAGCGTCTTTCAGTGATTAAAATAGAAATCCAGTAAATGGCTCTGCCCGCTTGCCCCATTTTCGTAATGAAAAGTTAGAAAATTAATGAGTCCTTCCTGTATGCTAATATTTCTCATGCCTCCTTGTCCTCAGCTGCATCTCTTTTCCCATATCCTTTGCCTTGTAGCCTCTGCTTGCTCTGACTGACTTTTTATTCCTTTCCTCGTCTTCCATTCTACCAATACACATCACCTTCAGAGCTTCCTTTCTCTTGTTTTTAACTTAGCATCCTTCTAATCCTTTGATATTCCTTTATTTTATGTATGGCAGAGTTTGTAAGTATTCAGTTCATATCACAAAACTGCACAGCTCCAAAGAAGTCTGTGTAGTAGCTTTTCTCCAAGTGCCTTCTCTAGCTGCCTGCTAAGGAGTGATCCCTGCGCCAGAAACCTTGGCATCACCCAGGGGTGTGTTAGAAACGCAGACCCTCGGGCCCCACCCCAGACCTGCTGAATCAGAATTGACATTTTAATGAGGTCTCTAGATGGTTGGCTTGAACTTGATGGTTGGAGGAGCCTTGCCCTGGATATTAGTGTTCAGTGAAATGTTAGCATGTGAAAAAAGTGGACCACGGTTATAGATCCACGTTTAGATAGCAATGAGTCAGAGAGATATTTTCAGTTGTACAACCTCCCCCAGTTTCTCACGTGCTCCCGTGTATTATGAATCTTCCTGAGGGGAATGTATAATGCAGTATTCTTTATACTTACTGGACCAATTAACCCTTTTTGGAGGGGAGATACCTGCCAAACTGGAGTTTCGTGGAATGTGGTGAAGGTAACGCTGCTAAGTGTGGAATGGATGGTGTTTGCTGTGGTTCTTCTGCATCAAATGTGACACGTTAAAGTTTGGTTTTTATGATAAAAGTTAAAATTTCAATAATTAATATGAATAATCATCAGGTTTACAAAGTAAACTTGATCTTGAAAGTCAAAATAAGTAGCAAGCCACTTCTTGCCTTTACTCTAAGTGGTTCTAACTTATATTGTGCTAAAAGATTTTAGCTTTTGAGAAAGTATTTTTTCCCAATAGTCTGTGTGTCTAATCTTTTGCTATGAAGTTTTTCAAGGCATTGAAGGTTGTTATTAGAAAAAGTACCACTTGAGTAGTTTTACTGTGTAAACAGTGGTAAGAGGCTGGGAGGTGTAGCAGTTCATTTTTCTTCACCCTCAGCACAGGCATGGATTGATTTAGTTTCACATGTGGTATCTCACAAAGGTAGTAAAATAATATGCATTAATTAATATGATTTTATAGTTTTTAATGTCCAATTTATCTTAAAGAAATAAGTGATTGATTACATGTGTTGAATGATCAATAATCTTTTGATTTTACTTAGTATTGGTACTTAAAACATTTTTTTATTGTAAAACCCACTAAATTTCTCATCTTAACTATTTTTAAGTGTACGGTTAGTAGTGTTAAGTCTAGTCACGTTATGAAACAGATCTCCAGAACTTTGTCATCTTGTCAAATGGAAGCTCTGTACCCACTGTACATGCTGGGTGTTAGGTTTTAAGACTCTGGGTTTTGTTTAAATCGTCTGTTTTGTAGGCTTCCTTGGACACTGAACTGGCAGAGGAAGGAGGGTGATGCTTTGTTCTTTCTAGGATGGGATGGAAGTCTAGGTCCCCAGGGGCGTGGAAGAGCCCCCCCTTACTGCTTGGCAGGAGTGGGAGTCCAGAATTTCTGTGAGGTGTCCTCGGATGGCCCCCTGGCTGGAAATGGGGCAGGTTCCTCACTACTCCTCTGCTGACAGTGGTTGGGTTGTGCTGTGCGCCTCTTTCCTGGCGGGAGGTGGTAAAGATGAAGGCTTCTCACTTGCCCTCTCTGATGCCGCCCCAGCAGGGAGGGAGAGGGGTACATCATTACTACTGGATGGGTGGAGGTCCAGCGTCCCATGTGGGGGTCCACGGATACCATGGTTGGGGTGAGGGGGCCTTGTTATTGCTGGGTTGGAGTGAAGGTCCCAGCTCTCCTCTTGGCCTTTCTGATGTCACCCTGGCAGGGATTAGTGTTGGCGTGCCTTGTTACTGTCATGTGAGGGTGGGAGGCTAGGCTGCCCTCTTGCCCTTTGCTGATGGGGACGGGGCCTTGGCTTTCCTGTGTTGTTTGGCTGGAGTAGAGTAGCTATCGTCTAAATGTTTTTGAACTCTTTGGGCTGCCCCTTTCTTGGTCCTTTGGTTTGAGAGAGCTGATTTTTCCTGCATATTTGTGTGTGTGTGTGTCTGTTGGTGTTTCTAAGCCCCTGGTTTGCCCAGCACCCCATCTGGGGGATATGAGGCAAAAGGAAAACCCAGCAAACTCCTTGCCATGTTGGATTCTCTGGTGCTGAGGCCTCTAACCAGTCTGCATCTTTTCTGTCTTGTCCTATGATCTTTAAACTGTGTCTGTGGCCGCTCAGTAACATGCAGTGATCTGTCATTTAAAAGGTAAATTTTGATTTTTTGTTAATTGAAACGATTTACCGTGTATCAAACATTTATTTTGGGCCAGACATTAGTGACTTGTAACCCTGGGTTATTCACAGTTGAAACTCGGTGTGTGGAGAGTAATTTTGTCAAGTTCATGGAAGATATAAATGCCAAAGCTCATGCTCAGGCCAGACAGTAAATAAGGAAACAGAATAACTTTGGATAATGTTAGTGCTCTGAAGAAAGTTAAACAGGGTGATGCTGATAGAGCATCGGCAGGGGGAAGTGTGCAGGGAGTGGAGCCAGACACCATCTATCTGCCTGGTGGGGGGAAATCAGGGAGGGCTTCTCTGAGGAAGTGATGTTCCGGCTGAACTCTCAGTGACTGAAAGGGGTGGCTTTGTGAAGCTCTGCAGGAGGAACTTTGTGGTTCAGCTTCTCTGAGGGTGAGAGATCTTGGGGAGACCTGTGAGGAGAAGGAAAGCCAGCTGGGCTGTAAGAGGACCCAGCTCATGCAGGGTTATAACGTCAGCCTTCCTTAGGGGTTTTGACACAGTGGCCATTGCTTTATTTGTACTTAAAGGAAAGAACATACATTTGTGTATAGATGTGTGTTTTAGGGGCAGGTGTACCAACCTGATTATTGCTAATTGTGTTTTTCCGAAGCATTTGGTTGTTAATAGGCTAGAATGAGGAGGACAGGCAGTGACCCGGGAACAAATACCAGGTTTACTGCTTCCTGTTGAACGTGGAGAAAGAGCTGCACATGTTCTTTTCAGGAGACTGATGGCTCTATATTGCGATTTTTTTGTTGTTGAAATTCAGTCCCCAGAAGAGATCCATGCCATTCCTTTTAAATAAGAGAAATTACTATTCACCGCAAAAAATTTAGGAGACCATAAAGACGAAAACAAAGCTGACTATAACCTCACTACCCAGCGATCATTACTGTTGCCATGTTGGTTTTTCTCTTTTTAGTCTTTTGTCCATGTGTCTATATATTTTATGTACACATTTATAAAACTAAAATCAAAATATATTGACTTACCATATTTTCCTGAATGTGTCTTTAAATATACACTAAGAGTGTTTTCAAATTATTATATAATTTTTCACTCTGTGGTAATTTCACTCTGCTCCCACTGTTGAGCTGTTTGCCTCTCACTTTTTGGTTTGTACTCATCCTGATGCTGTGAGCATCCTGTTAATATGTCTTCATGTCCTCTGCTGGCAGATGACCATAGGTGTTATGCACACTTGGTAGGCTGTGCATAAATAATGCTAACTTGTGGTCTAGAAGAGTAGACGATGAGAGAAAGTACTATTTACTTTTAATTTAACCAGCAGTCATTAAGACACATGCTATAGTTATCTTATTATAAAACCTAGAGTTTAGGATTATTTAATTAAGAGCATACTTGATGATTTGTAGTTATTTGCAGTTAGTAATTAATCTCTGATTCTCCATTTGAAATATGTAATTGTAACCAAGTTTTCGTCTTAAACTAAGTTAACTAGGTGATACTGTTCTGAATCGTGCTCATGTTCTTAAGTGGATATTGACGCGTCGAAGGAATTTAAGTTCATGCTGTCACTTGCATTAACTAGGTGGTATCATTGTCCTTTGCTAACCATTACCCAGCAGCCACATTCACCAGTGGTAGTTGATTTATTTTGTCATTACCTTTAGAAGAATCTGCTTGCCCATAATTGTGCTAAATGGCCAAAGATTCCTTTATCCAAAACAAGGATTAGTTTCGTAATGTGGAAAGTGAGTGTTCACAGCTATGGTGGCAGAAGACTTCCTTGAGTTAGCAATCATGTGTTCCACATAGTAATTAGAGAGGTTGGGCAAAACAAAAAGTGACAAACCGTTTTGGAAAGTCTATCCGCCATTGAAAGTAGTAGAGATTATTAAAGTAACTAACTTTGAACATTGCCCCGTATATTTTAATGGGGATATTCTAGCAGATTAGTAATGTGGTATTTTATGGTTGACAAAAATAGTCGCAATGTGATGTCGGCCTGCAAGGGAGCCACGGGCTGAATGGGTCTTCTCTTGTGTCAGGCTGTGTTGTTAGCTGGTTTTGGACACAATAAAATAGGGTTACTATCCTTTTTTGTTCTCTTAAAAATTGCAAAATTAATCATTTTGTTTCAATCTGTAGCTCTTCAAGGATATCTTTAGGCATACTTATTTAATTTAATGGAGAATTTGAAGTTAATTAGAAAAATACTCTTTTTAGAAGTTCAGCTTGCAAACATAACTTCATATTCTCCACATGAAAGTCTCCCACGTATCCCCCCGCTGTGATGTAGACAGTATCATTCTGTAAAATTCCATACGAATCACACCACTTTCAAAGATAACCTTG